AAACTTGACAGCCTTTGGGATGAATCTTTTGATCTTGGCAGTCAGTTCGCTTTTGCTCGAAGCCCAAACATCAATTCTACCCGTCGATACTTCGGCTCTTGACTTGGCACTTCAGACTTGGTATCGAACTTGGCAGCAATTTCAAATGCAGTCCCAAGACACCGGCAATAGAAGTGCGAACTCTGTCCTCATCACTAACAGTTTGTCCTTGTACCGTTTAGGGGTCAATTTTCTCAGAAATGGACGGCCTGTTCTGGATGAAAGAAGTTATCTGGAAAGGTCTCCTGACACTAGGAACCCTCTCATTATCAAAGAGCAGGTACATCAGGACCAAATGATGGAATACGTGAAGGGAGTACTCAGTGCCTTTGAAGAAGCTTGATTCCAGAATCTGAGAATGAGTGATGTAAGGTGAAAGACAGAGATGCCGTGAGCAGGGTTCTTGAAATGAAGTAAATCTTGAGAAATTTCCTGCTTTTTGTAGTAGGATATTCAGAGAAATAGGAGATTAAAATTGCCGCAGATAAAGCCAAGCTCTTCCGTCTTCTCATGCCGCGACATCAGCTTACGTGAACGAAAACCCGTCGACGTCCGCAACCAGCGCTACTATAGATCGCCCTGTTGCCATGCTAAATATGAAACGCGCACAGAAACATTAGTGCTTCTGTTTCCATCGTACCATTATGACGCTACATCATAATGCAGCAGTCGTCGCCGCGTGGTGGAGGATTGCAAACAAAGCAAGCTCGATAAGCTGCTCGCTTCGAACGGCCTGTACACGTAGGGCAAACATCTAGGGTTTCAGACAAAGTCCATTTCAGTAAAGTCGATAGGTACAAGATTGGAGATACGAGCACGTTCGACATTGGCACCATGGCGAGATCTTAGTGCTGAAGTGTTTGCGTGGCCTGTTGTACCGAGGGATAGCGCAAACCTGTGAGTATGGATTGTGCATTGTGTCGGTTTACCTGAACGATACTAGAATTCGATATGAAAGGAGAAACTAGAGGACAGCAGAAGAAGGAAGATGTGAGAGGCAGAGATTAAGTACCAGAGTCCTAACCGCCATCCTGATTTCTTAATACGATCGAAAGCAGGCTCTCATACGACTGAAAGTGCAAACAATCTCTCGTCAGCACATATCTTGGGTATTCTCCTTTTTTATTTGCTAGTCGTTTGTTGTGGCGCTTCAAGACCATATATCCGTCCCTAACGTGCAACCTTTGATACATCATGCCACCAACATGGCAGACCCCATTACATAACAAGTCAGGCAGTCAGGTCATCTTACAGGTGACCAGAGAAGTTAAAGGGTCATTTAGACCGAAGACAATACAGACCAGGCAAGACTCGCGAGGGGGCCAAACAGTGTGACTTACTACAAGCCAGTAATAGGGAGTTCTGACATTCTTGCAGGGGTCACACATTTCCAACATTGGCATTGACCTCATGCTCCATAAATTGATTGACGGTTGTGAGCATCGCAATTCTCGGCCGTAGACAAGCTTTTTTAATATTCATATATCACATTCTGGGTCAGGGATTCAAACTATCAAATGTCCCGTACATATTTGTCTAATAACAAGATAACCTGATCCAGGCTTGCAATCTGAGTTCATGTTCATAATAATATTTGACAAAATATCCAACGGTCCTTTATATTCCCTATTTCTCGCCAATTAATGCCAGAGCAAAGTCCTTATAATCACCGCTCAGAACGGACTTGATGTTCCCACTTAACGTAGCACCAGTCACTGGCTTGTACGCCTGCTTTGTCTGATATAAGCGTCCCTGGTCCCAGTAGAGACTGACGAGCCTGTTGATGAAGAGACGGTCCTTGCGCATTGATTTATTCAGAGGCATACTAAGTCTGCCTGCATCAGCTCGAGCTCGATCCTGTGCATGGTAGAGTATCCGCAGTAGCACGTCTTCCATGTCACCACGGAACTCCTTCTCAATGACACTCTCAAGACTGCGGTGATATTTGTGTTGGTATGCATCGTTCATTGCCCGAACTTGGGCGTCGTTGCTGCTGGTGAATATCTGGGCTACAGAAACAGCGTTGGCACCGATTGTACCCTCAGTGGCCCTCTGTAGTTCTGTAATCTTCTGGTCAATCTCGTGGGGAATTACTGGAGCATTGTCTTCTGCTCTTCTGGCGGCAAGAACCATGCTGTAGAGTCGGTAGAGGGTATCGTCAACGTCTTCCTTAATATCGACCAGAAGTTCTTTGCCTCGGAAACGCTTGTACTCGGCGGTAATAGCACGAATATCTGCGTTTGAGCGGCAGAGAAGAACATCATTCAACGCATCTTCATCGGTGCCAGCGCGGTTGAGAGCCTTTGACAAATTTTGAACGTCATTCTCCAATGGTCCTCGGATCAGAGCGAGAAGACATGTCTCGAAATCGCCACGGGTCTCACTTTCAATGTCCTTTGCAAGATCGCGCATAAAACGGCTATTGTAGTCGCGGACCAGCTGGGCCATCGTCCATGGATCAGCGTATTTGGGGCTGACGAGAACACGAATCAGAGCCTTTTCATCACAACCCATTCCCTTCATGGCCTTTCGAAGAGCCTCTACGTCTGCTGCGGTGTCTACAGGCTTAACCCATGCTTTCTGGGCCGGGTCATAACCTGGTGATGCTGGAGTTGGAGGGACGTTAACTGGCGGTCCACCATATTGCTGCTGTCCAGGTTGCTGGTGCCACTGCTGGCCGGGGTAAGGTGGTTGCTGTTGCTGTTGCTGGCCAGGGTATGGAGGCTGGCCTTGCTGAGGACCGCCATATTGCTGTGGCGGATACTGTCCCTGTCCATATGGAGCTGGAGGAGGCTGTTGTCCATAAGGACCTTGATGTCCTGGCGGCTGCTGGCCGTAGGGAGGCTGTTGTGGATAGCCTTGCGATTGCGAATGCTGCTGGTATTGTCCTTGCTGACCTGGAGGGGGATATTGTTGGCCTGCAGGAGGATAAGGCTGGTTCGGCTGGCCTCCAGGTGGGCCTTGCTGCTGGTAGCCGTAAGGTGGTTGTTGGCCTGGCGGCGGCTGGTAGTAGCCCTGGCCAGGCTGCTGTTGTCCCGGATAGCCCGGCTGAGGGGGTGCTCCGCCCTGGGAACCTTGCCAGTAAGGAGGTTGCTGCGACATCTAGGTAAGGTAGTGAATAAACTGTTAAGCTTCAATTAAGCGATGTTTGGAAGTTGATGCTGATGCTGATGCGTGCAATGTCTTGGACCTGTTCAGCCCTATTAAACTAAATTTGACAGGAGGGGGATCGCAACGTGGAGGCCTCTTCCTGGTTACCTCCCACTATCATCTTAGCGGTTGTGCTACCGCAATCCGGTGTTGGTGCCTCACTGGCGTCTTGCAAGTGGCTGTGTCGTCATTAGGCTGATTGCTATCGAGACCTAAGATGACCCGATCCTCGTTGATCTATCCGATAACGAGAAGGTGCGGGGCAAACAAGGCAGAAAGGGATGTCTGTGGCTTACAGGCAGGATGGGAAAAGGAATGATCATCGCATGTGACAATTGTATGGTCAATAACTGACGGAATGGGAGTTTGCAATTATTTGGGCGCAGTGATATGGAGCCCTGTCGGTGTAAGGATTTAGAGCGTGCGTCTCCAGGGCATTTGAGTGAAACATCGCCTGCTTTTAGTGGAGACGTAAGCACCTAAGATCAATCATTTCTCAAGGCTTGCTTTCTTTACTTCCCAATGGAAGTGGAGGACTCGAAAATAATTCCAAGGGCCCAGATACCTTATTGGTAATTCCAGGGCATTATTACAGATTATTAGATCCAGTAAAGAAGCTGAATGGCGTGACGTGACAAATCCTTCACCCTTACAAAGAGAGAGCCATGTGGAGTAAAAGCTCTGTCATGTATTACGTGACGGGGATACCAAGTTTGCAAAAGAAGTATTTGGGAGGACAGGATGCTAGTCAAGAAACCTTCCCCGACATCTCTGCGAGATAGGTCAATAGATATGATAAAAAATAAAGAGGTTAATAAGAGACGCGAAACCATCAAGTTCACTACAAGGCAATCGGGCGGCTCAGGAATCCAGCCTACAGATAACCCCAAAAAGAGGGAACTGGTGCTGGCAAAATGCCTCTGGTTCGTTGCAATTGCATTTCGAACGAATCAGCTAAAATAGACGGCTGTAAGCGCTTTCACTTGCATATTTGCTCAGCCATGCCACTTCAGGAGCTAAGACTCTCGACATGGGCATATATACATATCCCCCACTTAATATATTTCGTGTGAGCGCCTTCGGTTTAGATGCCAGAATTTACCTATAGGTGATCCTACCCTGTACATGCTCGTGTACCTGGATTCAATTTGCACACTACTATGGAGAACTCCACTCACCAACTTAGAGCTGGGCTCGAGGTCCCAGTCAACAGTACTCAGAGCTGTCCTATATGTAGAGACCTAAAGCCTGGCGACGAATATGATGATTTCAATGTTATCAGCACGCAAAGTCTCAGAGATGATTGTGGATGCTGTCAAGTTCTCAAATCGGCCATGAATAGCTTAGCTGATGGATCGACAACTCAGATTTTTGTTCATAGCAAAGAGGGTGAGCCTATTAGCGTTGAGTACTCCTCTGAGAAGTTAGACCCCGAGGATAGCCATGCGAACAAGGCCGGGTTTATCATCTATTCTCATGATAAGGTAGACAACTTGTTTCACCAGTGTGAGTATCTGGGCTTATAATAACCCCAATATTAGTCTCGACTTATTCCTGATCTTGGGATCCTCAGCTCATATCCCGAGTCAACCGAGCTCGAAACATCTATAAAGTTCATCAATGCACAGATGTTAGAATGCAACACCAAACACGAGTCATGCAAAAAACAGCTCGAGTTACCGCTTCCAACGCGCGTCGTTAGTGTTGGCTCTTCTGACGCGGACACTCGGCTAGTCGAGTTGAAGAATGTGCCAGCACGATACGTAATATTGAGCCACTGCTGGGGTAGTAAACAACCACTCAGAACAATTATGACCAACTTCAAAGACATGATAAAGTCGATCAATGCAAACTCTTTACCGGTTGTCTTCCAGCAAGCGATTTGGATCGTTCGGATGCTAAGAATCGAGTATATATGGATTGATTCACTCTGCATTATTCAAGATAGTCAGTCGGACTGGGAACTTGAGTCTTTGCAAATGTGCGATTACTACGAAAACTCTTTCTTGACTATCTCAACAGCCACGTCACCAAATTCTACCATCCCATTTCTCGGCCCACGAGACACGAGATGGTGGCCGGCTAAACTCAACCTGACAAATGGTTCGAGTAGCGAGGACGTTTACGCGCAGCGCATAACGAGCGAGCAAGAAGAAGAAGGAATGCTTTTTACGCGAGCATGGACATGGCAAGAGGCTGCTATGTCATCACGCACGATTTACTTCACCCCGTCAGAACTCATTTGGGAGTGTTCCGAACATGTTGTGCCACAAAGATACATACCCGATCTTGAAGCATCTGAGAGGCTGGGCTTTTCTAAAGTTTTGTCTCTTCTAAGATTCAGCTTAAATCCAGATATGGTTCACAATATCGACAGGTCAGTGGGAGATGGCTGTGCCGATATCTCGGGGAGTGAAAATTCTATGGGTATACCTCCGTCGGGTTTCGACTCTGCAAATTCGTCATATGCTTCGGCACTCTCACGTACTGATAGACCCAATTCCATAGGTTCCGACGCCAACATAATGAACTATGTTTGGGATATGTGGAATGACTTAGTGACAAGCTATTCACGTCGTCATCTCACCTTTGTCACTGACAAATTACCGGCGCTTAGTGGCGTCGCATCTCGTGTCCATAAAATCACAAAGTCCCGTTACATTGCAGGCATATGGGAAGATAACCTTGGTATCGGGCTATGCTGGGCCAGGGCATCTACAGGGTATCGTGACTTACCGACCCTCGCCACGGAGTATGTGGCACCCTCATGGTCGTGGGCCTCGATACATGGAGCAGTGAAGAGTCGGGTAGAGAGAACGATCAGTACCTTTGAACCCAGCTTCACCATTATTGAAGCCAACTGTATTGTTCCAGGGCTCAACCCCTTCGGCAGGGTCGCAACCGGCCACCTTTTCATCAGAGGACAGATCGCCCAGGCGATGTTGAGATGCGACGACCCTCAAACAAGTTTCTTTTATAAAATATCAGGGCCTACAGACAAATGGGACTTTTCTCCTGACAGCGTCCTGGCCTTAAATAATGGCAATGTATCGAGAGCTAGGAAAGATCCAAAGCCCTCCAAGTTCACGGCCAAGATTCATTCCCTATAAATTGGCTCAAGATACAATGCTCGAGGCGATAAGAGTGATAGAGAATACTTCATGTTAGTGTTGGGTCAATCTGAGAATGCTAAAGGCGATACCTCATTTTGTCGCCTTGGTCTGGCCTATTCCCAGAGTAACTTGTTATTCCAAGGAGCTCCCGTACGGGATGTTAAAGTGGTGTAACCATGACCGGAGTTGACTCTGATAGCTCTATAGTTCTGGTGTATGCGCATCGTCTTCATTCGTTCGGCTTTGGCCCTTCCGTTTTCTTCCGCCCCGTCAAATAGTAGAATGTCTATAGTGGTTCATCCTCATTCTCGCTACCAGAATCGTAGATCCAATGACTCTGCCTGATCCACACAAGTCTATCAAGCTCTGCCGACTTGGGAATGAAGCTTTTTCGACACTGGCTGTTCCACTGGATCTTAGTTCAATGGTACTTTTGTCTTCAACTTGGCAGGTATTCTCTGCACCCTTACAATGTTTCTGAGAGCAAGAAATACATGGCTAACCTGCAGATATTAGCAGGTTCTCCGTCATAGAGATATCGCAATTGTTAAGTCTTCTGTTGTGTTAATGTTTACATCTTATATGTCCAAGTCAATATTTTCTAAAGCAGTTGAAAGCCTCTCACATATCCTCGCTCGTTTCATCGCCCTCCCATCCCCCTCATCCAGATGCTGCAAGAGCCTTCCAGGCACGACACAGTTATATCTATAGTCCTCAGCTCCCTTGGCCATGTGACTAAATACCGCGGATATGCCCTCAACACTTGCCAAGTTCCCTACACATCGTATATTCTGCCGGCAATCCTTTTGTCGTGAAAAGTCAAGCAAACGGCCAGCGAGACCGGCCGCGATGCTCGTTGCCACTGACGTGCCCGTGAGCTGCTCTCGTATCGACGGCGGCACCGAAACCCCTTCACCAAGGATGGCAAAGTTCTTGGACTTGGTGGTCTGGGCAGCTGGGTTGATTGATTGAGAGACCTTTGCTCGACCATCTGTGCAGTAAATACAGATCACGTCCTGCATGCGAGCCGGAAAGGTAACCTGCCTGATATTTCCGTAGTTCGATGCCGCCGCAAAGATGAGAGTTCCATCACTAGCAGCTCTTTTGATCGCTCTCCTCATCAGGGCATGGTCTCGCTCGAACCCTGATGCGATACTGATGACATCCGCCTGCCAGACATTCTTTGCATGTTCGATTGCCTAGGAGTAAGTTAATGGCCAGCTCTTTCGTATTTCAGTCTCTGTTACTCACCTCTAACATAAGGTCCTGTGTGTCATCATTCGCCTCATCAAACTCAAATACTCTAGCAACATACACCTCGGCTTCGGCGTAGACTTTGAAAATGAGCTTTACCGAGTTAGTGCCATGGCCGGTATTGTCTTGCTTCACGTCATCCCTGTTCGTAACGAAGTCTCGGTATCCTCGTATGTGCCTAGCATAAGAGTCGTTCTCGTCGATTCCCGTATCAATGACCGCAACACGGACTTGTTTGTATGTTGGGTCAGTCTCACTTGGTAGACAAGAGAGGATCTCGTTGAGCTCGTCCAACTCTTCGAACCAAGCCTCGGCCGAGGCCTGTGTGATGCTGACATCGGTCAGTCAGGGCAGTCAAAATTCGCCTCATATTATCATCTTACCAGCTGGCCACCGCCCCATTAGAGGCGGCAGATTTGACGTTCGCGGTTCGGTGCCCATCTAATGGTAGTTGTCTTGTCTAGGTCAGTAGTTGAAGTGATACTATCTGATCACTGTAGCTTACTTTGTTATATGTGGTTGTTGCAGAGACACACCATGAGAGAAGGGATGTTTTTGTGTTACCTTCCGTATCTGTGACGGTTGCATCTGTACGGTTGGCCTGAGGTCAATCTTTTCAGGCTGGCCGTAAAGTCCGATGAGAGTGTGTAAATGGTCTACCACCTCTTCTTGTAGGACCTTGCGCAGCTCCTCGATGTTATGACGATGCTGCATGAACTTGGAGGGTCGTAGACAGTCGCCAATAACGGACTTCAGCAGCGGAAAGGTGTCTTCCAACCTATCAGGGTCATCGAAAAGCTTGAGTGCCACATACAGATCCGCATCCGCGTTGAGCTCTCCATCAGGGGCGCGGCACTCGTCATCATAGTGGTCTTCGATAACGGTCCCCAGCTCAATCTCTAGCAGAACTATTCCAAGGGCCTTGATTTTGGGAAACTTGTGCGGCCTGAAATCTGAATCATTCGTCTTGTTGTCTGGGTCGAAGTGAGCTGAGATGAAGGGCTCGTTCAAATAAATGCCAGCGTCCTTGGGGCTCTGGCGGCGTTCAAACATGAAGTGGATGCTCTCTTTTGTCCACTCCTTACCCAGCCAATCGGTTGAGTAGAATTGCCACATGGACTTGGCTAGGAGGTAGGATAGCAGATACTTCATCTTCTGTGATAGCTTGTGATTTCTCAGTATCATGGAAAGGGCCACGGAGGGTGTATTTGGCACCCAAATCCTTGCGCCTTCGCACCACTCAACAAAGTGCAGTTGCTTGTCTGATACTTTGAGAGACAATTGGTATTGTTCCCTTGTGCTTATCCTCTCACAAAAGTCTTCAATGCACATCGGGCCGTTGATTTGAAGCTGTACTTCCTTGTTATTTGTGTCAGAAAATTTGGCCTTTCTACACTCTGATTAGCATCGCGTAACAAACGAGGCACGTTCCTCTGCAATTACCTGCGATCCACTAAGATGCGAGTCTCACGCCATCGGAAAGACTCTTCTTCCAACTCGCGATGAGGGTGCGCAAGAAACATCAGATCGAAAGCCGGAGAATCTGATTCGGCCCCGTTCTCGAGTGCCAGTCGAAGTCTTCCTGCGATCTGAGTCTGCTCACTCCCGTTATTACAGAAGATGTATGAAGACAGCACCTTGTACAGGGTCCTCATTGACCCAGTGAAGTCATCTCCAACCCAAACTTGAGTCTTTGTTTTCGGATTTGGCATCTCGTCTGCAATTGCCAGGGGTTTGATAAAGGCCTCGAGAATTCTCAGTAAACCCTGCTGCTTCTTTTTTCCTTCAGGACTCCGCCGCAAAGCTAACTTGCGCACGCCATCCACAGCGTTTTTGCGGTTATTATGATGAAGTAGATTGAGCCCAGGGTACCGTTGAGCGAGTTCGAGGTCATTTTTTGGTTCTTTTAGCAGACTTGGGCCGGTTGTAGGCTAGATACCAAGAGTTGGTTATTAGCCTTCCATGATTCAGCACGCGACGCTGCCCTACCTTGCAGATCCTTTCAAGATTATTTAGCAACTTGAGTAGGCGTGGGATATGTACCGAGTCGGATTCCTTCTGGTCTTTTAGGTGCTGGCTGACCAGCCAGAGGGCGGCGGCTAACGCTGGACAAAAGAGCTTGTCTTCGCTTCCTCCGATGCCCCGCGCTACAGTAGCCAGGCGGTCAGTGACATCCACTGCAAAATTGAGGACTAATGCATCGGAAGGGGTCATGGTAAGTGCGTCACGGGAAGGTCTGCAGCTTGTCTGGCGGGTTGTTGGAATGAGTCAAGTTAAATCAGGCTGAGGCTGAGGCCGTTTGAGAGAGCTGAGGGTCACGGGACTTAATTGTATAAGGCTTAGCTTGTTCCATTGGCACAAAATATGAAACTGGAGTCTTCCATTATTATTGCAACATCATTGCACAATGCGGAGTATAAGAAAGAAGAAAAGGGAGCATTAGCTTGATATATCCCAACTTAAGGATAGACACTAATATTTTAGAAAGGAAAAGCATTTCTTAGGTACAATCTTAATCTGCCCTGAAACTGCGCTAATTAAAGTCGCTAACCGGCATAGCGTCCACTGGAACCACAATATGCTCTGGGCCAGTTTCGTCGGCCTCTATGGTCAACAGCTGAGTGGTCGTCAAGCACTCCTCGGAGAGCCTGCTCTCAATATCTGTTTCGCATTCTTTCATGCTGAAGGTCGCACCTCGGGAATAAGTCTTCTTGGACCACTTCTTGTCAAAGAGCCCTTTCGTAATCTTGGAGAGCCTCACCGCCCAGACAAAGTCATGCGTTTGCTTTGCAGCTGTTGATGTAGACGTCGTTGAAGAGAAACCAGTATCGACAGAGACCTCGGCTACGCCGCCGATGCCACTAGTACTAGTTAGAGGAAGCGACTGATGTGAGGGCATCCGGATATCTTACATTCCTGGACCTCCATTAATACTCTTCTCTGTTCCGTGAGTGGTTTTCCGGGTAGAGTTGCCGCGAACAATCTTGAGCCCCGTGATGACGAAAATTGACCATGTTGGTCCAAACTTGTTGTCTTCCAAGAACTCGACAACCTGATTTCCCGCTAGGGAGCGATTGATGTATGCCCTCGTGGGTTCAACAGTGAGGGTTTCGAGTTGTTCAATTTGCCAATGGTTTCCAACGGTTTTCTTGAGGGCGAAGCCCAGCGAAGCCTTTGCGTTAATACCCGGTGCTGCAGCGATGGGTACTTCTGCTGTCGTTGTTGCATCAAAACCGCCCTCTTTAGTTGACTCCCACTCGAATTCTATTGGGCCTGTGCGATAAACAGGCATGTCAAGTGGGAATGGCTCTGGGCCGCTTGTATTGATCACACTGTCAAGGTGTTTTAGGCTCTTGACGAAGTGGCCCAGGCAGAGAGGCCCTGTCTGTTTGAATGCTCCATTTTTGTCACTATCTTGGGGAGGGGGATAATGTGTCTGGGATAGAACGAACCAACACTTGTCCATGGCGTATATGGACAATATTGACTAAGTATTAAGATTTATCAACTGCTAAAACTTGACTGGAGATAAGAGAGAATTAATTTGCAACCGGGCCCAATGATTATTAGTCATGTGAGACGGAAGCACACTGGTAATCCGATCTGGTTGGCTGAGTCTGTCAGCCTCTAGACCGCCCATTTCAAACCCTGCCAGCTGCACGCGGGGCAATTAACACTGACATCGGTGCGCACTAGAGAATGGAACTCGCAAATGACCTTTGCTCGCGAACCCAAGAATGCGTTTCCCTTTTCCAGAGTACCTCAGGTCATCGGGCGCTCGCTGACAATGACTGGTTTGAAGATCGCGCCGCAGACTTTGCGTGGTGGGCTCACGGCTTAAAAGCGCAAAAGACTGGCAGGAGTTCTCTCGACTATCGACTCAGAGAGCGATTAGATGTTAAAAGAGTCATCGCAGGACTGCTCGACAGCTTAGCCTTAGCGTTGAAGGAATATCTGCAACCAGGTACGGCTGTCCCTATCTCCAGACGCCGCAGGAACAGTCTTAAGAGGTATAGACAAGAGCCAGGGGTCTATTCGTCATGACCCGGATGACGAGGATGACAAGTTTTCCGAGTCCGAAAAGAGTTCAAGTGGTTCCTCTTGGTCCGAACTCTCTGATAAGGTCGAACAGCCAGAGGACAACGACGCCGCAGCAGATAACCCAGACAACGAGAACTCTGACCCCAGATTCTACATTGAAACCAACCTGAAGCTACTGGCCAAGATATCCATCGCCATCCGAAGATCTGGGCAAAGGCTGCGCTACTTGAAAGCTGATGCGTACTTGAGGGATCACCTAGACGATAAGGAATACAGGCTACTCAGGAATCACCTCTTATTCCTCATTCTGGTCGGCTCTTACGAACAAAAGCTTTTTACTGAGCTGCGGCGTCTAGCTATCAGCCAGGAAATACCGAAAGCCGTCGAAATCGTAATTCGCTCGTGGATTATTGATCCCTCTCGCGCAACATCAACCCAGCAAGGACTTATCGAGGCCAATGTTGTAAGGCGAAACAGGATTGCATACGCGAGGCGCTTTATCGGCAAGGATGTTGTCCCACAGAGGCCTCAAGAAGATAATGCTAAAACCATTGCCCCTTCACAACTTCCGGAGGCGCTGCTTGTGCCAGCCAGGGAAGCAAGCACGTTTGGCACAAAAGAGCCACTTCCTATCCCAAGCCCTGCCCAACCACTACCTGACCCTCTGGAGCCTGCCAAGCCCCTGACAGCAAAGACTTTGACAGCGACAGAATTGGGTTCTCAGTTCATCCTGCCTATAATAATGCCATTGGAACCGAAGAGGGGGGCGATGTCAATCTTGACCAAAATTACGCAAACTGGCACTAACCAAGATTACCCAGCATGTCCCGCAAAGAAGGGCAGCTTTCAGTGTCCATACTGCGTTCAAGTCCTGCCCGAGGACTACGCAACAAAGTCGAGATGGCGGTATGTCGTGTTACTAACTTGCTGTTATATTTCGCTATGGGACTGGCCTAATCCATTCATACAGAGGCCACGTTGCCCAAGACCTGAATCCATATTCATGCATCTATCACCATTGTCCAGACTCTGGCAACTTGTATGCTACCAAGGAGGAATGGAACAATCACATCAGGAACAAACACAATAAGGAGCGCTGGGCTTGTGATGATTGCATGTTTGAAAGCGACCATGACGACGAATTCATCTTTGACAGCCAAGATTCATGGGCGAGCCATATGAGACATCGCCACAACTTTTCGGAGGATCGTTTGACGCTACTTAGTAACATGAGCAAGAGAGACCTCAACGAGTCAGTCCAATGTCCTCTCTGCAAACGGCCGTGCGGATACTCGAGGCCCGATCAGGATGATCACATTTCTGAGCATCTCCATTCTTGGGCCTTGAGGGCTCTTCCTTGGGATTTGAACCCAGACGATGACGCTTCCTCTGATTCACCTGAGATGGGATCTGAGAACGACCTGGCAAGAATGTCAGACATTAGTGAGCAATCGGAAGATGAGGTTGAAAGCGTGACTGCAACCATATCAAATGCGATTGACCGCGAAGTGACTCGTTGGAGACAAGAGAAACCAATCGGTTCGTCTCGGCTTGATGTTCTGGTCAAGGAACTTGAAGAGGTGATTGCTAAATGTATGGCTCATGCGTGGCTCGACACGCAGAACGAGATCATGTTACAACTTCTCATAAATATTAACCAAGTCAAGGCCCAGTTCTGTCGTGCCTCACGTGCAGAATTGGAGGAGAGGGAATTCACCACTCAACAGCAACAAGATATCGAAGAGAACCTATGTACCAACATCGAACTCGGTATGGATTACATGAACGGATTGATAGGCGAGCGAGATATAGATCCCAGTCAGGACCCCAAGGAATGGCCCAACTCTTCGCCGTTCCCCAAGATCAACGACACAAATATTCCGCCAAATGACGAGGAGAAACTGGAGATCTTATGGAACGCGCGACATCATGTGTTACACTCAAATAACGTTTCAATGCAAATTACCTGGGCGCGTGATGTCCTCACCTGGATACAAATCAGCCAAGAGGATCGCGCAAGAGAGACGAAGTACAACATCAATTCCCGACCTGAAACCCCTGGGATAGAACATGAGCTCATTATCGATGCAACGAATATCATCACTCACCTCGCAGACCAGGAGCATCCTGAGGCACTTTATATGCGCTCAAAGTGGCTCGAGTTCGGTATCCTCGGTAATCGCGTTGATAAGGTGTGTATCCCTAATCCAAGCAATTTTGAAGATCTTGAATGAGGTTGACTGACGTACGAATAAGCAAGAGGCCTATAGTGGATACTCGCGGGCAGCAGCCCTTGGCCACGGCAGATCAAAGTATAGATGTGGCGTGCTACACGAGCAGTCTAATGATATGCTCACGGCTAAGCGACATTATTACCGTGGTTTAGCTGTCAAAGACTCTGCCTCGCTATACAGAATGGGCATGATGAGCCTCTTGGGCCAACACGGAGAGATCAAGGACCAGATTATTGGCCTTGAGCGCATGAAGGCTTCTGCTGATAGCTCAGATGAAGACGCTCCTCAAGGCTCCTATGTATACGGCGCGTTGATCGCGCGGGAGCTACCCGATACCATTATTCCCGAAGATCTGCTACCTCATGACCCTTCTACAGCTAAGATGTACCTCGAGAAATCAGCTTACTTAGGGTTTGCTAAAGCTCAGGCTAAGTTGGGTCAGGCATATGAGCTTTGTCACCTAGGCTGTGACTTCAACCCATCCTATTCCCTTCACTATTATGGCCTGGCGGCTAAGCAGGGAATACCAGAGGCATCTATGGGTGTCAGCAGATGGTTCCTATTTGGATATGAGGGTGCTTTTGCGAAGAACGAGGCTTTGGCATATAAGTACGCTCAACAGGCTGCAGCTGGTGAGTTTGCAATTGGAGAATTCGCCATGGGTTACTATAATGAGATCGGAATACACGTTCAGAAGGATTTGGCAGAAGCCCGGAGGTGGTACCAGTTATCCGCCGATCACGGCAATGACGATGCCGTTGATGCCATTCTCCGACTCCAGTCGTTAGATAAAGGCGAGAAGGCCAGACAAGACAGAAACCCTAAGGCAATTCCCCTGGCGAGTCAGACCTTTGGGGAGACCCGCTCCAAAGTTGTTGAACAGACCCGTTTGGAACCCGTTTCAAAACCAAAGACAATCATCGTTGGAATAGACCTAGGCGCAGTGTAAGTACCCGTCCAGCCAAGTAACCTAGAATCAACCCAACTAACCTAGAACTATAGGTTCTCGTCAGTCTCGTGGGCAGATTCCTCGAACCCTTATGAGATCTACGTAATACACGATTGGCCTCATGCAGCCGCCATCTCGGCATCAGATGGCCAAGTCCCAACGCAGTATGACCTGGAAACGAAACTATGGGGAAACCCCAGGATGCAAGCTGCTCGACTCCGCAAGTCCGTGAATATAGCCCAGAAAAACTGTTTCTCGGCCTTGGAAGATTTTTGCAGCGGTGTTGAGCCAGCTCGTAAGCAGGCTACCCGATTCCTCACGTCTTATATCGGAACTCTGTGGAACCATGTTGTCCACGAGATTCTCTCAAAGACCGAAGGTTGGGATCTTGAATTCATTCTGTCTCTTTCAATTCCTGTCTACTTCTCGTGGGAAATGGAGAACCGTCTTCTGCGAATGGCTCGTGATACCACGGCCCATAACGGCGCCTCGAAAGTCGTCGAGGTCAATGCCATTGGACAGTTGCAAGCAGTCATTTTGAATTCACTCAAGGACCAATATCGACTAAACCGATCTGCAAGAGGACCAAGCGTAGTCATGGAGGTATTCTTCTTGGAATTAATTCATCTCAGGACTTGCAACTAACTGAAACCAGAATGGAGAAATTGTTGTTATATGTGATTGCGGTGGCACTGGTGCGGTACGTATTCCTCAGACCATAGAGGGGCCCAGGGTCTTCTTGACTGACCGAGGACTTGTCTTTCTGTACCAACACTGCTTTGAGGCTTACAATGATATCATTAGCGCGCTCTCAGCTACGAAGTTCACACAGAGTCCCCTCCTCTCGTCCAACAACTCACATCCTGGAACGGTATGTATATCCAGAACCTTCTGTCAATCGATGATACCAGGCTGACAAGATACAATTTAGCTGAAAATTTTGGCACGCCTTCAGTTGATATGGAATTCATTAATTACTTGCTCAACCATTCATCTTCGAATTTGGGGACTTCCAGATCGGCACTGAACGAACTGGACTTTTTTATCGAGACTGAATGGGAATATGGGTTGAAGAGAACTTTCAGGGGCGACGACAATCACGATATTATCCTACAGCTTCCCAGAAAGGCCATCTCCGCCTTGAAACGACTTCAGCCATCGTCCAGCAGGCTATTGATTAAACCGTGTGTTCCCATCGCCCAGCGCTAGAGCATCAAAGGCTGATGTATTGAATAGGAATGTTGTTCGCAAGTTTTTTGAAAAATCGTTAATGGCTATCGAAAAGGTCATTGATGCACAATTTGCGGCCCTGGAGGTTATAGGAAGAAAGCCAAATGTTGGTTATAACTACGATATAATTTCTTACGTACTATACTAACTCAAAGACAGTCGATTCTACTAGTTGGAGGTCTGGCTCAATCACCCTACATTATTCAGCAGCTTCAGCAGAAGTTCGACGTTATCTTTCACCTACCATATGAGTAAGTGTTAAGCTCGGCAGTGGTAGATATTTATTAACTTTTGTTGTAGTTTGTCTGCCGTTTCTCGGGGCGTTATAGAGGTTGAGTTTCAAAGGACTTTGGCGCAAAGATTGCCTATATTAGCTGAGTTAGAAGATCCGGTTGATATAACGTCTCAGAGGTCAAAGGATGTGTAACTCGCGCATCGTTAATATACATCCTCCAATTCATCACTAGCGCTGATAGGAAGTCCACTTGACTGGTGCAACACTGGTTACTGGCGAGTGCAGGCTGGAAAGAAGATATACATTTTTTGCTCATGTGTCTTTAGACCACCCAAACCAATATTTAGTTCCTTTTGGACAAAAATCGGCCAGTCGATGTCGCACCAGCCAGAATTTGATAAGCTTATCCACGCACTTGTACCTGTCGTGGCTGCATTAGCCATCTAGCCTTAAATAGCCAAGGCAGTTTGTTGACCGCTCAACCTCGGGACCCTCTCAAACGCAAAGCAAATCAAGAACCATTCAAACCGAATTCCCAAGCTGAGTAATCGGTCTCCATCAATCACATCGCTCCGAGGATGGCTCCGTTGACCCGTTGGCCTCACCCAATTCGCAAGGTGGGGAGCTACCTCTCATCCCCGCTCGGTACCGTTATATAAAATGCTAGCTACCCCTCGATTTTAGCTGCCGAGGCCGTTTCACCAAAACAATTATCTCCAGAAGTTTCAATCAAATCACTTTTTTTGTATATCAGAATGGCTCAAGTTCTCGTTGTCTATCCCTCCGGTCCTTCTTTCGACCTGGATTATTATCTCACAAAGCACATGCCTCTCGTCGCATCGTAGGTGGACCCCGATCTGACATGCCACCAGAACTCGATGCAATTACTAATGCCTCTGCAGTAAATGGGGTTCCTACGGTCTCAAGAACTACAAGATCATTACCTTCCAGGAGGGCGCACCCTTCCAGATACAGGCTACTCTTGAGTGGGAGAGCCTTGAGGTGTTTGAGAAGGCTGCTGCTAGCGAGGCCGCCGCTGCTGTCTTTGGCGACATCAAGAACTTCTATGATGGAAACCCGGTGCTGCTGAAGGGACCTGTCGTTGCCAGCGAGACTGTTGCGTCATCGTAAGAGTTTAATGAATATATTGCTATACAGGCCATTCCATCTGACGATTTGCCAGCGAATCTAAATTGTAGATTCCGCTTTGATGCCCATTGAGATAGATGGTGATCTGACGGACATGGAACTCCGCAGCCGCCGAGTATCAAGGAAACGTGTACATATCGATAATCTAATGCGATTCCGTGAGACATTCCGTGGAACCGGGATATCTTGTCAGAATTGAGCATTTATTGGATCGAGATTTGTTCAATGTCGATCGATTTGTGACACCTCACCTTCCGTCGTATGCCGTATTGCGGACCCGGTTCCGCATGTACCCATCCATCATCCCGTCCCGACTCCAATGGTCTTCTCAGACCTGTTTAATCAGGTGATTGTGTTGAAGCGTCAGTCTCCAGAATCTTCATTTTCATTTGCATGAGAGCTGTAGTGATACGACATTCTGAACAAGATACATGCGGCCCGATAAGACCATGTAGCCGGGTCTCCCGGCAATTCGGACTCGGCTGATTCACATGCCGAGCTTTCTCCCCAAAAATCTGATGATCGAAATCGTGAAGACTGTAGACTCAAGAGCATACCAATATGTCATCTCTCCAGAGGCAAGTGTTGGGCTTCATGAAACAAAAGTTTCATTTTGACTTCACGATATCGATCGGTGAGTCGAGAAATACTAGACTATATTTGCAAACAGGTAAGAATCATGCACCCTACTACCTCACATAATTAGAAACCTTGCTTCAGTCTTTCATTTGCCTCAGACATTCGATGCTGAGATAGATGCAGGATGGCCAACTAAACGCGACGGCCATGATGTGATGTCAAGGTCAAGAGGCGTCCTTATCGCCCGCTATCAGCGCTAATCGGGCCGTCGATAACGACTCTCTAAACTATTTCTGGTTAAGCTCGACCATGACAGCAGCTCAATTGCGTCAATTTTGAGTGACGCAACCTCAAATTAGAGATGGACATTTTAGACTTGACATTTTCAACATCGCATCCAACAAAAATGTCCTCAACAAAAGCACGCGAGCTCGAGCTTGCACCATTCCTCAAATCAGCGCTACCCCAAGAAAACAGAGCCTCATTGCGCGACTCGGTCATTCCTCAGCTTTTAAGCGCTATCGCAGATATTGGCAAAGGGTTAAGAGGATCATATGATGTTTCCATCGTCGGCACAGAGAACGCTTTTGGTGATGAGCAGCTGAACGTCGATGTTCTGGCTGAGAACATTATTCGTGACGGTATTGCAAAGTCGTCGGCTATCAAAACTGCGAGCAGTGAAGAGGACCCTGTCGAGAAGCCAGCGCGCGCAGGAGAGACAACGCAAGCTGATACCAGCGTTGAGCAATACACCGTCGCTTTTGATCCTCTCGATGGAAGCTCTATCATTGGGCCAAACTGGTCCGTGGGTACCATTATCGGTATTTGGGATGGCGTGACAGCCGTTGGCCAGCCTACAGAGAAGCAAATTGGTTCTATTCTGGGAGTATTCGGTCCACGAACCCTCGCCATCGTTGCTCTCCGAGTACCAGGATCCGAGCCCACATGCTTCGAAGTCAGCCTCAACGACACACAAAATTTCGTCGTCGCTCGTCCCGAGCTTCGTCTCGCCGAGCCTCCCTTCAAAACACGCTACTTCGCTCCCGCCAACCTACGAGCCGCTGCCGATAGTGAGAAGTACATGAATCTTGTGACAAGTTTCATCAGCGACAAGTATACACTACGGTACTCGGGAGGTCTCATTCCCGACATCTATCACACTTTGGTCAAGGGTCACGGCGTGTACATCTCACCAGTGACTTCTGCCAGCAAGGCTAAGTTGCGAAGACTTTACGAGCTGCTCCCTGTAGCGCTCGTTGTTGAGTGTGCGGGCGGACAGGCCATTAACCCTGAGACTGGTGCGAGAGTATTTGATACTGTATTGAAGGGATGTGATGATAGAGCTGGATTGGTTTGTGGAACTTCGGAGGAGGTTGGAAAAGTGAAAAAGGCACTATTGGGATAGGTTACAGTGGAAATCATAAAGGCCGGTTCATAGATCAATAGATAGCATTCATCAATTTCTTGCACTTCCTATGTGGAACACTCAAGCTGTTCCATTCGACGCCTTCGCAATGTCGGGAAAGTTTGGGCTTGTGACCTTGACACCATCTCCAGGCGCCAAAGGCTGCCAGACAGCGTAGTAAATGCTCGTCCTGTCCTGTAGCGTTTCTACCTCGAGTGCATCAGGAAAGACATCCGCGACGGAGCCTTCACGCGCAATATCCTCAACCTCTTCACGCATCACCTCGTGATCACCATCTTCAGGCTTAGGGAACGACATGTGAACAGCGATCATTTTATCCTCCGGTCGGTGCAAGAGCCAAAACGAGCCTGCTCCTCTTCTCTCGGCTGCATCTTTGAGAACAGGATACAGCTGCTTCAAGATGGCTTCAACACCAACATGGTGGTACGTCCAGCGTTGGAAACGACCGATGCCATGGTCTTCGACTGGAGTGAAATTATGAGCCCCGATGACGTTCCAAACAAAAGAGTCGACATGCTTGAACAAGGGCTGTTTCCAATAGGTCGTCTTTGGCTCGCCCACTTCGAACTCGTTTGTAGTCCAGTCCTCGTAGACTTTCGCATTTTCGGGCGTATCGAAGAGATAGCATCCTCCCGTAAGCATATCACCGTTGACAGGGTGATACTTGGTAGGAAGGTACTTGATGTACATGCCTGGGCGTTTTCCCATCACTTGAGCGCCGCCATATTGACCCTGCCAGATGTCCTCAAGGCCGACACGAGGAGCGATCGTGATTTCGGCAGTGAAGGCCCCTTTGGCGTTTATCTTGCCGACGCCGTAGCTGAGGCCTTGGTTATTGGCTTCGGTGGCTGAGCATGTCAGACGTGACATCAGATGAGGGGTATCGCAACTCACCCATTTCGTCTGCAAATTGCTTTTATCTTCAAGTTATATCCACTCTTGACTCACAGTGAACTTTCGAGAAAAGGATGTCCTAGAGCCGTCGTTCTTATACTTCTCTTTAATTTTGGTACCATTCCCAAGTGCTTAGTAGAATAGATGAAGTTTGGTAATGATGACGCTGCAGGCTCACGAGGCAGAAGCCAATCACGGTCTGGGCCAGTCGATTCTTACTAAGATGGTACGCCTCCAGCCTCAAAGTATTGGTTGCCGTCTGAACACGGAGGTTTCAGTCAGAATCCAACGTAAGCTATTGTAACCGCGACATCGACTACCAGCGCCATAAGGTCTCCTGTATCATGAGACCACGTGATCAACATGATATGCGCGCCTTATGATCGAGTCCCCTGTTATTCGCATTTAGAATGGAGGATGTCTAAGGGGAGTGTTGTTGCTACAGAAGAGGATCCTAAGACTATATACGCGACTCTTGAATCTGTTGTCATACCATCAAGTCTTTGATCGTTCCTGATCTGATCTTTGAATGAGGAACTATAGATTAGGGGCAAGGTCATCGACTATGGGTTTCAAAGGACCACAGAGCGACGGGTTTACGAATACAGGGACAAGCAATGAAGGGTCATGGAAGCGTTGTATGGTCGTGAAGAAGGCAGCGAGTAGGCATTACGTGAACGACTCGCATGCCCCCAAGAGTGCTAAGGGGTTAGGCTGTCCATAACAAGTTGATATCCCCTACTCGCTTGCTCCGAGAAGCATCAACTAGGATGGCCTTATAATCTCAATAAACTGTCGGTCAAGGTAGCTTTACGAAATTCCGAGTATAGAGAGTCCAGCGATTGGATAGAAGAATATCCTGAACATATGACCATATCACTTCGGCGTATTTCCGCCCGAATCTTCAGTTTACTAACTTCATCAAGGAGCAAATGGACAGCACTGGATCCCCCAATTTCCAAGATGCCCCCAAATACTTCCTTTGAAACATCTCCGAGATGATGTCCACCAGTGAAACAGCGATCTTCTGAAAGGGGTAATATCGTCTCATTGGTGGAAATACCCCTCATCCTCAACCTCGTCGTTCCCTTCGGAGTGGACCAATCCGTACGCCCTTTCTAGGAAATTACGTATAGTGCATCTC